GGAAACAGCTGAGTGTAGTGAGTGTAACAAAGTAAGTAGGAGAAACAGCTGAGTGTAGTGAGTGTAACAAAGTTAGACGGAAACAGCTGAGTGTAGTAAGTGTAACAAAGTTAAAAGGAAACAGCTGGTTGTAAAATAGGTCATAGGATAAGTATCTACATACTAAATCATTTTATAGGATAAATGAGGATGTCTTTGTGTTATATATTACAGCTATAGATGAGGATGTTTGTGTGTTGTATATTACAGCTATAGATGAGGATATTTGTGTGTTGTATATTACAGCTATAGATGAGGATATTTGTGTGTTGTATATTACAGCTATAGATGAGGATGTTTTTGTGTTATATATTACAGCTATAGATGAGGATGTTTGTGTGTTGTATAATACAGATATAGATGAGGATGTTTGTGTGTTATATATTACAGCTATAGATGAGGATGTTTGTGTGTTGTATATTACAGCTATAGATGAGGATATTTGTGTGTTGTATATTACAGCTATAGATGAGGATATTTGTGTGTTGTATATTACAGCTATAGATGAGGATGTTTTTGTGTTATATATTACAGCTATAGATGAGGATGTTTGTGTGTTGTATAATACAGATATAGATGAGGATGTTTGTGTGTTATATATTACAGCTATAGATGAGGATGTTTGTGTGTTGTATATTACAGCTATAGATGAGGAAATTTGTGTGTTATAAGTTACAGCTATAGATGAGGATGTTTGTGTGTTATATATTACAGCTATAGATAAGGATGTTTGTGTGTTATATATTACAGCTATAGATGAGGATGTTTGTGTGTTATATATTACACCTATAGATAAGGATGTTTGTGTGTTATATATGACAGCTTTAGATGAGGATGTTTGTGTGTTTTATATTATAGCTTTAGATGAGAATGTTGGTGTGTTTTCTGCTGGTGCTTGTCCTATTGACATGTACAAATGGTCAGTTAGAGTGGCAAGAAATAGCCAGCCCTGTTCTGTCCCCTGACCCCCGTAGAGACGCAGGACTGGGCTATGATGCCTCCCGAAATCAACTTGTCCTGTTTGGAGGTAGACCAGGGACCAAGGATGATACATGGATATTTAACATTAGTTCAGGTAAGTTGTGACTACCCATCTGCAATAGACCTTATACTGGTTCTATCGGTTTTAGAATAACACCTATATAAGTACTTGTTATCTGATCGGGTCCAGAAGACCAGTGAGCTGATGACATGACACTTCGTCTGTTTGTGTTTGTCTTCAACCTTTTCTTTATACCACTTCTTCTAAAAAAACTAAATGGCCTATAGTCATGATATGTGTCTGGATGCTTTCTTAACTCATTCAACCCTGAATTTTCATAATGAACTATTCCAACCTTTGAATTGGAAGAGTTCAAGTGTGTCTTTAGGGGTGAATGAGTTAAAGGATGGAGTCTGACAAAGTTTGTGAAAAAAATGACCTTGACCTGCTCGCTCACATGGGTCAAATTTTTCAAAACATGCATTAAAACAACTTCTCCTGAAGAACCAAAAGGCCTAGAATTCTAATATTTAACTGATACGGAGCCCAACAATCTTTGCAGGGAAAATTGCCTTGATATACTTTCAGGGTAACAGGGGTTAATTATGTCAAAAGCTTTTAATACTTTCCTCTGAATAAGCCAAAAGCATAGAGTCATGATATGTTTACAGAATGGAACTTTCCAAACTTTGCAACAAAAAACACCTTCAAACCTATTATTTTTGATATTCCAGCCCTGTAACGCTATATTGAATTACTAGGGGAAATGAATACCTTCAGAATTTAGTCCTATTTACAGCTTATATTTCTTTTTCTCTTCGATAAAAGTATATATGCTATTCGACAAGGTTTAAATTAGATACAACACTCGCAGTGAGCTATAAAAGCCCTGAACCTCTTGATTAGAATGCTAGATAAATTGAAAGGAAACAGTTAAATTATAAGTATTGTGAGCTACTTGTAAAGATCGATGTTTTATTTCAGTAATGTCATGTAAAAGGTTTTGGCTTTGTATTTGTAACACAGGCACATGGAGATCTGTAAATACCATAACTCACCCAGCAGCAAGGTTCAGCTTTGTCAGTGGCCTGCAGGGTGACTATTTCTATGTATCTATGGGAGAGGGACTAGACCGACTATTCTACAACGACATATGGCGCTTCAGTCTGGTGTAAGTACAATCTAGATCTGTCTGAATATTAGTTTACCATTCAGTCTAGTGTAAGTACAATCTGTCTGAACGTGATATCCCCTTCAGTCTGGTGTAAGTACAATCTGTCTGAATGTGGTGTCCCCTTCACTCTGGTGTAAGTACAATCTGTCTGAACGTGAAATCCCCCTTCAGTCTGGTGTAAGTATAATCTGTCTGAATGTGGTGTCCCCTTCACTCTGGTGAAAGTACAATATGTCTGAATGTGAAGTCCCCCTTCAGTCTCGTGTAATTACAATCTGTTTGAATGTGAAGTCCCCCTTCAGCCTGGTGTAAGCACAATCTGTCTGAATGTGAAGTCCCTCTTCAGTCTGGTGTATTCTACAACGACATATGGCGCTTCAGTCTGGTGTAAGTACAATCTATCTGAATGTGAAGTCCCCCTTCAGTCTCGTGTAATTACAATCTGTTTGAATGTGAAGTCCCCCTTCAGCCTGGTGTAAGCACAATCTGTCTGAATGTGGTGTCCCCTTCACTCTGGTGAAAGTACAATATGTCTGAATGTGAAGTCCCCCTTCAGTCTCGTGTAATTACAATCTGTTTGAATGTGAAGTCCCCCTTCAGCCTGGTGTAAGTACAATCTGTCTGAATGTAAATTCCCCCTTCAGTCTGGTGTAAGTTCAATCTAGATCTGTCTGAATATTAGTTTACCATTCAGTCTAGTGTAAGTACAATCTGTCTGAATGTGATATCCCCTTCAGTCTGGTGAAAGTGAAATCTGTCTGAATGTGGTGTCCCCTTCACTCTGGTGAAAGTACAATATGTCTGAATGTGAAGTCCCCCTTCAGTCTCGTGTAATTACAATCTGTTTGAATGTGAAGTCCCCCTTCAGCCTGGTGTAAGTACAATCTGTCTGAATGGAAAGTCACCCTTCAGTCTGGTGTAAATACAATCTGTCTGAATGTAAAGTCCCTCTTCAGTCTGGTGTAAGTACAATCTATCTGAATGTGAAGTCCCCCTTCAGTCTCGTGTAATTACAATCTGTTTGAATGTGAAGTCCCCCTTCAGCCTGGTGTAAGCACAATCTGTCTGAATGTGAAGTCCCTCTTCAGTCTGGCGTAAGTACATTCTGTCTGGATGTTATATCCCCTTTAAAGTCTGATGTAAGTACAATCTGTCCGGATGTTATATCCCCCTTCAGTCTGGTGTAAGTATAATCTGTCTGAATGTGGTGTCCCCTTCACTCTGGTGAAAGTACAATATGTCTGAATGTGAAGTCCCCCTTCAGTCTCGTGTAATTACAATCTGTTTGAATGTGAAGTCCCCCTTCAGCCTGGTGTAAGTACAATCTGTCTGAATCTGGTGTCCCCCTTTCAGTCTGGTGTAAGAACAATCAGTCTGAATGTGGTGTCCCCCTTTCAGTCTGGGGTAAGTGCAATCTGTCTGAATGTGAAGTCCCCTTTCACTCTGTTGTAAGCACAATCTGTCTGAATGTGGTGTCCCCCTTCCGTCTGGTGTAAGTACAAACTGTCTGAATGTGGTGTCCCCTTCACTCTGGTGTAAGTACAATCTGTCTGAACGTGAAATCCCCCTTCAGTCTGGTGTAAGTATAATCTGTCTGAATGTGGTGTCCCCTTCACTCTGGTGTAAGTACAATCTGTCTGAATGGAAAGTCACCCTTCAGTCTGGTGTAAGTACCATCTGTCTGAATGTAAAGTCACCCTTCAGTCTGGCGTAAGTACAATCTGTCTGAATGTGAAGTCCCTCTTCAGTCTGGTGTATTCTACAACGACATATGGCGCTTCAGTCTGGTGTAAGTTCAATCTAGATCTGTCTGAATATTAGTTTACCATTCGGTCTAGTGTAAGTACAATCTGTCTGAACGTGATATCCCCCTCAGTCTGGTGTAAGTACAATCTGTCTGACCGTCGTGTCCACCTTCAGTCTGGTGTAAGTACAATCCTGAATATTAGTTTACCATTCAGTCTAGTGCAAGTACAATCTGTCTGAACGTGATATCCCCCTCAGTCTGGTGTAAGTACAATCTGTCTAAATATGGTGTCCCCCTTTCAGTCTGGTGTAAAAACAATCAGTCTGAATGTGGTGTCCCCCTTTCAGTCTGGTGTAAGAACAATCAGTCTGAATGTGGGGTCCCCCTTTCAGTCTGGTGTAAGTGCAATCTGTCTGAATGTGGTGTCCCCCTTCAGCCTGGTGTAAGTACAATCTGTCTGAACGTGATTTCCCCTTCAGTCTGGTGTAAGTACAATCCTGAATATTAGTTTACCATTCAGTCTAGTGTAAGTACAGTCTGTCTGAACGTGATATCCCCTTCAGTCTGGTGTAAGTACAAACTTTCTGAATGTGAAGTCCCCTTCAGTCTGGTGTAAGTACAAACTGTCTGAATGTGGTGTCCCCTTCACTCTGGTGTAAGTACAAACTGTCTGAATGTGGTGTCCCCTTCACTCTGGTGAAAGTACAATATGTCTGAATGTGAAGTCCCCCTTCGGTCTGGTGTAGGTACAATATGTCTGAATGTGGTGTCCCCCTTTCAGTCTGGTGTAAGAACAATCAGTCTGAATGTGGGGTCCCCCTTTCAGTCTGGTGTAAGTGCAATCTGTCTGAATGTGAAGTCCCCCTTCAGTCTCGTGTAATTACAATCTGTTTGAATGTGAAGTCCCCCTTCAGCCTGGTGTAAGTACAATCTGTCTGAATGGAAAGTCACCCTTCAGTCTGGTGTAAGTACCATCTGTCTGAATGTAAAGTCACCCTTCAGTCTGGCGTAAGTACAATCTGTCTGAATGTGAAGTCCCTCTTCAGTCTGGTGTATTCTACAACGACATATGGCGCTTCAGTCTGGTGTAAGTACAATCTATCTGAATGTGAAGTCCCCCTTCAGTCTCGTGTAATTACAATCTGTTTGAATGTGAAGTCCCCCTTCAGCCTGGTGTAAGTGCAATCTGTCTGAATGTGGTGTCCCCTTTCAGTCTGGTGTAAGTAGAATCTGTCTGAATATGGTGTCCCCCTTTCAGTCTGGTGTAAAAACAATCAGTCTGAATGTGGTGTCCCCCTTTCAGTCTGGTGTAAGAACAATCAGTCTGAATGTGGGGTCCCCCTTTCAGTCTGGTGTAAGTGCAATCTGTCTGAATGTGAAGTCCCCTTTCACTCTGTTGTAAGCACAATCTGTCTGAATGTGGTGTCCCCCTTCCGTCTGGTGTAAGTACAAACTGTCTGAATGTGGTGTCCCCTTCACTCTGGTGTAAGTACAAACTGTCTGAATGTGGTGTCCCCTTCACTCTGGTGAAAGTACAATATGTCTGAATGTGAAGTCCCCCTTCGGTCTGGTGTAAGTACAATCTGTCTGAATGGAAAGTCACCCTTCAGTCTGGTGTAAGTACAATTTGTCTGAATGTAAAGTCACCCTTCAGTCTGGCGTAAGTACAATCTGTCTGAATGTGATATCCCCTTCAGTCTGGTGAAAGTGAAATCTGTCTGAATGTGGTGTCCCCTTTCAGTCTGGTGTAAGTACAATCTGTCTGAATATGGTGTCCCCCTTTCAGTCTGGTGTAAGTACATTTATAACACTGGAGACCTTTTTGGTGTTTTATTATATTTTTCATCGATGGTCGCCTTCATTATGTCGTATATTTAAACAGAATAATTTTGAAATTAACTGAACATTCCAGAACAGAGACCTGGGAGGAATTGCCTGCTCAAAAGAAGCCGGACCATCTTAGGTACATGTATAATAATATTAGTTATATAAATTAAAAAACAACAATAACTGCTTTGTAAACAATCTGTGTTTAAATGAATATTCACATTGATGATTATTAAATTCAAAATCAAACACTCTGTCTTTAACTCAAATATATCTATATGGAAAACATGAAAGATGTAAAGAAGCTCAACAAATGAAAGGAAACATTTTTAGACTCAGTAAATGTATGTTGGCGGTTGTTGACAGTGTCAGCCAGTTGGATGTTGTTAGACTCAGTAAATGTATGTTGGATTTTGTTTACAGTGCCAGCCAGTGGGATGAGAAGACGATGGCCACCATGCCAGAGGCACGCTACGGTGCCGCAGGTGGCATCCACTCTCAGGGATCCAGCCTTTTTGTCCACCAGGGCTTTTCAACCCGTCGCTACTTTGATACCTTTTCCTACAATGTTTTAAATCAAAGCTGGTCTGCAGGTACACAGTAAGATTATTTAGATCCCAAAACAAACGTGCTTGTTTGAACCTTTTATTAAAACAAGTCTATTATGATCATTTATTGGTGGTGCACATGAACAGATGTTATATCAACGAACCTTTCCTGGCTGAAAAGAGTGCTTTTGATTGGCTGAGTTTGATATCACAAGATCTACTATGCCTCTACATTTGATTGGCTGTATAATATGATAGGTGCAATTTCTCCAATTTTGATTGGCTGAGTAATATGATAGGTGAAATGTTTCCATGTTTGACTGGCTAAGTTATGTATCTTTACAGAGTATTGTGCTGGCTCTGTGTGTAACCCGTACAACCCAAGCTACCCCCACGCCAGGTGTCTACACGCCGGAGCCATGGCCGCTCCTCATCAGTTAGTCGTGTTTGGAGGATGTATGAGGTGAGTTCTTCATAAACATAATCCAAAATGCTTCAGACACATATTAATCAGATGTGACAGATATTAATTGTACATAGGATTACGGTCGCCTTCTAGCTTCACTCTAGAGGAAATTTCCCTTTAGCTCAGTGGTAGAGTGTCCGAAAAAAAAGGATTCTAAGCAGATTAGCAAGAATAATTCTTGTATATATTTTGTGAATCAGTGCAAACCTGTTAATAGTTATTTGTTATAACAATTTTAATATAAATTTGTATCACAGATATATGATACAGCGATTGTGTAGTACATGTATATAAATGTATAACTGATATGTAGGTTTAGAATTTTGGTTAAAAAGGAGGCTTTGTCGATATGGATGTATTAACAGGTGGTCATGTCCCCAGGAGACTCCTGGGTCTATAGTTCATTGAGTATTGGTGTTTGTTTCAGTGGAGGGTTTACGGGCGGTCATGTCCCCAGGAGACTCCTGGGTCTATAGTTCATTGGGTATTTGTGTTGGTTTCAGTGGTGATATTAACAGGGGGTCAAGTCCCCAGGAGACTCCTGGATCTATAGTGCATTGAGTTTTGATGTTTGTTTCAGTGTAGGATTAACAGGGGGTCATGTCCACAGGAGACTCCTGGATCTATAGTGCATTGAGTATTGATGTTTGTTTCAGTGGAGGATTAACAGGGGGTCATGTCCCCGGGAGACTCCTGGGTCTATAGTTCATTGAGTATTGGTGTTTGTTTCAGTGAAGGATTCACAGGCGGTCAATGTCCCCAGGAGACTCCTGGGTCTATAGTTCATTGAGTATTGGTGTTGGTTTCAGTGGAGATATTAACAGGGGGTCAAGTCCCCAGGAGACTCCTGGATCTATAGGGCATTGAGAATTGAGGTTTGTTTCAGTGGAGGATTAACAGGGGGTCATGTCCCCAGGAGACTCCTGGGTCTATAGTGCATTGAGTATTGGTGTTTGTTTCAGTGGAGGATTTAAAGGCGGTCAATGTCCCCAGGAGACTCCTGGATCTATAGTTCATTAGTATTGGTGTTTGTTTCAGTGGAGGATTTACAGGCGGTCATGTCCCCCGGAGACTCCTGGGTCTATAGTTCATTGAGTATTGGTGTTTGTTTCAGTGGAGGGTTTACGGGCGGTCATGTCCCCAGGAGACTCCTGGGTCTATAGTTCATTGAGTATTGATGTTTGTTTCAGTGGAGGATTTACAGGCGGTCATGTCCCCCGGAGACTCCTGGGTCTATAGTTCATTGAGTATTGATGTTTGTTTCAGTGGAGGATTTACAGGCGGTCATGTCCCCAGGAGACTCCTGGGGCTATAGTTCATTGAGTATTGGTGTTGGTTTCAGTGGAGGATTTACAGGCGGTCATGTCCCCAGGAGACTCCTGGGGCTATAGTTCATTGAGTATTGGTGTTTGTTTCAGTGGAGGATTAACAGGCGGTCATGTCCCCAGGAGACTCCTGGGTCTATAGTGCATTGAGTATTGGTGTTTGTTTCAGTGGAGGATTAACAGGCGGTCATGTCCCCAGGAGACTCCTGGGTCTATAGTTCATTGAGTATTGGTGTTGGTTTCAGTGGAGATATTAACAGGGGGTCAAGTCCCCAGGAGACTCCTGGATCTATAGTGCATTGAGTATTGATGTTTGTTTCAGTGGAGGATTAACAGGCGGTCATGTCCCCAGGAGACTCCTGGGTCTATAGTGCATTGAGTATTGATGTTTGTTTCAGTGGAGGATTTACAGGCGGTCATGTCCCCAGGAGACTCCTGGATCTATAGTTCATTGAGTATTGGTGTTTGTTTCAGTGGAGGATTAACAGGGGGCCCCTGTCCCTCAGGAGACTCCTGGATCTATAACAGTCAAACCAACTCATGGACAAGGATAGATGGCTGTCCCACTCCAAGGTCAGTCATTCGTTACAAAATCTCTTGGTGGTTCTGTTTATAGAAGTGTAGAAATGATTCCCCTTCAACGAAGATAGGAGGGTATACATAATTCAGTTTATCTGTCTGTAGACACAAGCTTGTCCCGAAAATCTTCATACAGCTGAAAATTGTGAAACTTCATTGAGATTGTCAACCCACTTCATAGTTGCGCACCTGCCATTTAAATTTTTAGGTCACCTGAGCTTTGCTCAAGTGACCTATTCCAATCACTTTTGGTCCGTCGTCGTCCGTCGTCCGTCGTACGTCGTGCGTCGTGCGTAAACTTTTACATTATCAACTTCTTCTCAAGAACCAGTGGATGGAATTTTTTCAAACTTGGTCAGAATCATCCTTGGTATATGAGGCTACCAAATTGTAAAATTGGAATTCCTACCCCAACCCTAGGGGCCAGGGCGGGGCCCAAAAGGGAAAATTAACCAATATTTCAAAAATCTTCTTCTCCAGACTCAGAGGTATTACAGTCATTTTCTCTGCATGGATGGAAAGATCATCAGGGGCTTTATTTAAATTGTAAATTTCCGGACCCCCGAGCTATCCGTTCTCCCTTGGGGAGGGGGTAAAGTTTACTATAGTTTGATTAGGGAAACCACACTTTTGGGTATATTTTGACAATTTTCTTTTGGAAATTATTTTTTACTTGGTCAGAATCATCCTTGGAGGAGGAAGATGGTTTTAAATTGTAAAATTGGGATTCCTACCCCAACCCTAGGGGCCAGGGCGGGGCCCAAAAGGGAAAATTTACCAATATTTCAAAAAGTGAAGTTTACTATAGTTTATATAGGGAAACAACACTTTTGGGTATATTTTGACAATTTTCTGTTGGAAATTATTTTTCCTTGGTCAGAATCATCCTTGGAGGAGGCAGATGGTTTTAAATTGTAAAATTGGGATTCCTCCCCCAACCCTAGGGGCCAGGGCGGGCCCAAAAGGGAAATTTAACCAATATTTCATAAATCTTCTTCTCCAGACTCAGAGGTATTACAGTCATTTTTTCTGCATGGATGGAAAGATCATTAGGGGCTTTATTTAAATTGTAAATTTCAGGAACCCCGAGCTATCCGTTCTCCCTTGGGGAGGGGGTAAAGTTTACTATAGTTTGATTAGGGAAACCACACTTTTGGGTATATTTTGACAATTTTCTGTTGGAAATTATTTTTACTTGGTCAGAATCATCCTTGGAGGAGGGAGATGGTTTTAAATTGTAAAATTGGGATTCCTACCCCAACCCTAGGGGCCAGGGCGGGCCCAAAAGGGAAATTTAACCAATATTTCATAAATCTTCTTCTCCAGACTCAGAGGTATTACAGTCATTATCTCTGCATGGATGGAAAGATCATCAGGGGCTTTATTTAAATTGTAAATTTCAGGAACCCCGAGCTATCCGTTCTCCCTTGGGGAGGGGGTAAAGTTTACTATAGTTTGATTAGGGAAACCACACTTTTGGGTATATTTTGACAATTTTCTGTTGGAAATTATTTTTACTTGGTCAGAATCATCCTTGGAGGTGGAAGATGGTTTTAAATTGTAAAATTGGGATTCCTACCCCAACCCTAGGGGCCAGGGCGGGGCCCAAAAGGGAAAATTTACCAATATTTCAAAAAGTGAAGTTTACTATAGTTTATATAGGGAAACAACACTTTTGGGAATATATTTTATCCATTTTCAGCAGAAAATTACTCAAACTTAGTCAGAATCATCTTTGGTGAAGGAGAGTATTACTTTGGAAAATTGGGATTCCTGCCCCCTCCCCAGGGACCAGGACGGGGCCCCAAAGGGAACAATTACCAATATTTTCAAATTCTTATCCTTTGATGACATGACAAGTATTGTATTTCACTTAGTTTACATGCTGATTTCAACATCACATCCAAACAATAAAATAAAGCTACCAGTACCTATGATATAACTCAGGTGACCGCTAAGGCCCTTGGGCCTCTTGTTATCTAGCCGTTTTCATAGATATCATGCACCTATTTACGAAAGTTAGCTAAAATTTTGTCCCGTGCCTGTCTGTTTTGCTATTTCACTTTTGAGTTACTAGATTTGGCCTTTGATGTTATTCTTTCCAAAGGTTTGTTTGGGGAATATCTTCTAATGTTCTACCTTAATTAGCCAGATTTCTTTATCATTTCACCTGGTGCAACCAGGTACCTATACAAAAACATTTTGTAATGGCGGAGGGTCAAGTACAAAAAGTAGGTTATTGTGACCTTTGGTTTAACTTATGACCTCAACCTTTGAAAAAGTTCACCTGGTATATATCTTGTATAGTATTTCACCTGGTGCAACCAAATATGTTATGCATGTCCATCTTGGGATGGGGGGTCAAGGACAGACTGAAGGTCAATGTGACCGACTGTTTGGTCTTTGACCTCAACCTTCTTAATAAAGTCAGGGGCATATCTTCTATATTGTTCCACCTTGAGTGACCAGATTTGGTATGCAATACATCTTTGGTTGGCGGAGGGTTAAGTACAAGAACTATGTCACTGTGATCTATATCCTAAAATAAGTGTGCAAAGAAATCATTACTGTAAAGGGGACGATGGCTTGTCTTGGAATGATTGGCTTTTGCTCATTTTGAAATTATTATTTTTTTCTCAAAGAACTATTCCTGCAGTTCTTGTTGCAGGCAGGGGGTATTCTGCAGGGGGTATTCTGGCAAAAACTCAAGTTTGTGTATATGCTTGCAAAACATTTAAATTTATTACAATTCTGTATAATGATACACGATTTAAGAGGTGAAATGAGAGGCTATAGAGTCAGGGTAATTTTTACATTTTAACATTTGAGAAACAATACAAAAATAACCTGAAAAAAGTAAAACTCAATTGTGACATGACAAAATTTGACGAATTCAGATGATCAGTAACAAATAAAAAGTTTTAAGTAATAATGTATGAAATTAGTGACCAAATGGTATATTTAACTTGAAGGACTATTACTCTTTATCAATGATATTATATCAGGTAATACAGGCAAATACAAATGTTTGTTGTATTTTAAATAAGTTTAATGCATAATATTTGTATTGCAGGGTTTATGGAACAATGGCAGCAATTCCTAGCTCTGATGGAAGCCGCAGATTGGTCTTATATGGAGGTGTTGAGGAGCTCCGTCAGGTCCTCAAGGTAAATAACAGAATGGTTGTAACACACTGTTAGGTACTGTATAGAGGTGTCGAGGAGCTCCGTCAGGTCCTCTAGGTAAATAACAGAATGATTGTAAGACACTGTTAGGTATTCAATAGAGGTGTTGAGGAGGTCCGTCAGGTCCTAAAGGTAAATAACAGAATGATTGTAACACATTGTTAGGTACTTTATATAGGTGTTGAGGAGGTGTTGAGGAGCTTCGTCAGGTCCTCAAGGTGAATAACAGAATGATTGTAACACATTGTTAGGTACTTTATATAGGTGTTGAGGAGGTGTTGAGGAGCTTCGTCAGGTCCTCAAGGTGAATAACAGAATGATTGTAACACACTGTTAGGTACCGTATAGAGGTGTTGAGGAGCTCCGTCAGTAGAGGTGTTGAGGAGCTTCGTCAGGTCCTCAAGGTGAATAACAGAATGATTGTAACACACTGTTAGGTACTGGATAGAGGTGTTGAGGCGCTCCGTCAGGTCCTCAAGGTAAATAACAATGATTGTAACACACTGTTAGGTACTGTATAAAGGTGTTGAGGAGCTCCGTCAGGTCCTCAAGGTAAATACCAGAATGATTGTAACACATTGTTAGGTACTGTATAGAGGAGTTGAGGAGCTCCGTCAGGTCCTCAAGGTAAATACCAGAATGATTGTAACACATTGTTAGGTACTTTATATAGGTGTTGAGGAGGTGTTGAGGAGCTTCGTCAGGTCCTCAAGGTGAATAACAGAATGATTGTAACACACTGTTAGGTACCGTATAGAGGTGTTGAGGAGCTTCGTCAGGTCCTCAAGGTGAATAACAGAATGATTGTAACACACTGTTAGGTACCGTATAGAGGTGTTGAGGAGCTCCGTCAGTAGAGGTGTTGAGGAGCTTCGTCAGGTCCTCAAGGTGAATAACAGAATGATTGTAACACATTGTTAGGTACTTTATATAGGTGTTGAGGAGGTGTTGAGGAGCTTCGTCAGGTCCTCAAGGTGAATAACAGAATGATTGTAACACATTGTTAGGTACTTTATATAGGTGTTGAGGAGGTGTTGAGGAGCTTCGTCAGGTCCTCAAGGTGAATAACAGAATGATTGTAACACACTGTTAGGTACTGGATAGAGGTGTTGAGGAGCTCCGTCAGGTCCTCAAGGTAAATACCAGAATGATTGTAACACATTGTTAGGTACTGTATATAGGTGTTGAGGAGGTGTTGAGGAGCTTCGTCAGGTCCTCAAGGTGAATAACAGAATGATTGTAACACACTGTTAGATACTGTATAGAGGTGTTGAGGAGCTCCGTCAGGTCTTCAAGGTAAATAACAGAATGATTGTAACACAATGTTAGGTACTGTATATAGGTGTTGAGGAGCTCCGTCAGGTCCTCAAGGTAAATACCAGAATGATTGTAACACATTGTTAGGTACTGTATAGAGGAGTTGAGGAGCTCCGTCAGGTCCTCAAGGCAAATAACAGAATGATTGTAACACACTGTTAGGTGCTGTATAGAGGTGTTGAGGAGCTCCGTCAGGTCTTCAAGGTAAATAACAGAATGATTGTAACACCCTGTTAGGTACTGTATAGAGGTGTTGAGGAGCTTCGTCAGGTACTCAAGGCAAATAACAGAATGATTGTAACACATTGTTAGGGACTGTATATAGGTGTTGAGGAGGTGTTGAGGAGCTTCGTCAGGTCCTCAAGGTGAATAACAGAATGATTGTAACACACTGTTAGGTACTGGATAGAGGTGTTGAGGCGCTCCGTCAGGTCCTCAAGGTAAATAACAGAATGATTGTAACACATTGTTAGGTACTGTATATAGGTGTTGAGGAGCTCCGTCAGGTCCTCAAGGTAAATAACAGAATGATTGTAACACACTGTTAGGTACTGTATAGAGGTGTTGAGGAGCTCCGTCAGGTCCTCAAGGTAAATAACAGAATGATTGTAACACACTGTTAGGTACTGTATAGAGGTGTTGAGGAGCTCCGTCAGGTCCTCAAGGTAAATAACAGAATGATTGTAACACACTGTTAGGTACTGTATAGAGGTGTTGAGGAGCTCCGTCAGGTCCTCAAGGTAAATAACAGAATGATTGTAACACACTGTTAGGTACTGTATAGAGGTGTTGAGGAGCTCCGTCAGGTCCTCAAGGTAAATAACAGAATGATTGTAACACACTGTTAGGTACTGTATAGAGGTGTTGAGGAGCTCCGTCAGGTCCTCAAGGTAAATAACAGAATGATTGTAACACACTGTTAGGTACTGTATAGAGGTGTTGAGGAGCTCCGTCAGGTCCTCAAGGTAAATAACAGAATGATTGTAACACACTGTTAGGTACTGTATAGAGGTGTTGAGGAGCTCCGTCAGGTCCTCAAGGTAAATAACAGAATGATTGTAACACACTGTTAGGTACTGTATAGAGGTGTTGAGGAGCTCCGTCAGGTCCTCAAGGTAAATAACAGAATGATTGTAACACACTGTTAGGTACTGTATAGAGGTGTTGAGGAGCTCCGTCAGGTCCTCAAGGTAAATAACAGAATGATTGTAACACACTGTTAGGTACTGTATAGAGGTGTTGAGGAGCTCCGTCAGGTCCTCAAGGTAAATAACAGAATGATTGTAACACACTGTTAGGTACTGTATAGAGGTGTTGAGGAGCTCCGTCAGGTCCTCAAGGTAAATAACAGAATGATTGTAACACACTGTTAGGTACTGTATAGAGGTGTTGAGGAGCTCCGTCAGGTCCTCAAGGTAAATAACAGAATGATTGTAACACACTGTTAGGTACTGTATAGAGGTGTTGAGGAGCTCCGTCAGGTCCTCAAGGTAAATAACAGAATGATTGTAACACACTGTTAGGTACTGTATAGAGGTGTTGAGGAGCTCCGTCAGGTCCTCAAGGTAAATAACAGAATGATTGTAACACACTGTTAGGTACTGTATAGAGGTGTTGAGGAGCTCCGTCAGGTCCTCAAGGTAAATAACAGAATGATTGTAACACACTGTTAGGTACTGTATAGAGGTGTTGAGGAGCTCCGTCAGGTCCTCAAGGTAAATAACAGAATGATTGTAACACACTGTTAGGTACTGTATAGAGGTGTTGAGGAGCTCCGTCAGGTCCTCAAGGTAAATAACAGAATGATTGTAACACACTGTTAGGTACTGTATAGAGGTGTTGAGGAGCTCCGTCAGGTCCTCAAGGTAAATAACAGAATGATTGTAACACACTGTTAGGTACTGTATAGAGGTGTTGAGGAGCTCCGTCAGGTCCTCAAGGTAAATAACAGAATGATTGTAACACACTGTTAGGTACTGTATAGAGGTGTTGAGGAGCTCCGTCAGGTCCTCAAGGTAAATAACAGAATGATTGTAACACACTGTTAGGTACTGTATAGAGGTGTTGAGGAGCTCCGTCAGGTCCTCAAGGTAAATAACAGAATGATTGTAACACACTGTTAGGTACTGTATAGAGGTGTTGAGGAGCTCCGTCAGGTCCTCAAGGTAAATAACAGAATGATTGTAACACACTGTTAGGTACTGTATAGAGGTGTTGAGGAGCTCCGTCAGGTCCTCAAGGTAAATAACAGAATGATTGTAACACACTGTTAGGTACTGTATAGAGGTGTTGAGGAGCTCCGTCAGGTCCTCAAGGTAAATAACAGAATGATTGTAACACACTGTTAGGTACTGTATAGAGGTGTTGAGGAGCTCCGTCAGGTCCTCAAGGTAAATAACAGAATGATTGTAACACACTGTTAGGTACTGTATAGAGGTGTTGAGGAGCTCCGTCAGGTCCTCAAGGTAAATAACAGAATGATTGTAACACACTGTTAGGTACTGTATAGAGGTGTTGAGGAGCTCCGTCAGGTCCTCAAGGTAAATAACAGAATGATTGTAACACACTGTTAGGTACTGTATAGAGGTGTTGAGGAGCTCCGTCAGGTCCTCAAGGTAAATAACAGAATGATTGTAACACACTGTTAGGTACTGTATAGAGGTGTTGAGGAGCTCCGTCAGGTCCTCAAGGTAAATAACAGAATGATTGTAACACACTGTTAGGTACTGTATAGAGGTGTTGAGGAGCTCCGTCAGGTCCTCAAGGTAAATAACAGAATGATTGTAACACACTGTTAGGTACTGTATAGAGGTGTTGAGGAGCTCCGTCAGGTCCTCAAGGTAAATAACAGAATGATTGTAACACACTGTTAGGTACTGTATAGAGGTGTTGAGGAGCTCCGTCAGGTCCTCAAGGTAAATAACAGAATGATTGTAACACACTGTTAGGTACTGTATAGAGGTGTTGAGGAGCTCCGTCAGGTCCTCAAGGTAAATAACAGAATGATTGTAACACACTGTTAGGTACTGTATAGAGGTGTTGAGGAGCTCCGTCAGGTCCTCAAGGTAAATAACAGAATGATTGTAACACACTGTTAGGTACTGTAGAGAGGAGTTGAGGGCTGATCCCTAATTTTCAGCGATAGCCTCATAGTTTACTTATTTAAAACTTACTTCAAACTGTAATTTCAGTTAAATTTGAATTGTGATTTTTAAAATGGATCTAAATAACATGTCATCCATTTTATGGAATAATTATATGTTGTTTTGATATCTACATATTGTTTATGTCACATGCAAATTGATTTCACTTGTTATCAATTATAAGCCAAATTACACGGCGTTACGACTATTCCTGATATGATCACATTTTCACCTTGTTAATGTTCTGTTCGTATCTACAGGAAAATTTATTTGACCACATTTGTTTTCTTTTAATATCCAACATAATTTGCTCAGTGAGGTTGATACTTTTGAAAATGGTGAATCAAGGTGGTCTTTCATTTCAGACAAGCGTTTCTGAAGCTGACGAAGTGTCTGTTTTAGACCCAGATGGTCTGGTATGGTATCGACAAAAAGCCACGTATCTGGTAAGTAGCCTTCCACCACTGGGTCGTGGGTTCGAGGCCTTTGTGGGAAGGAGTGGACAGGTACTGACCGTAGGTCGGTCCTTTTTTAGGGGTTTCCTTGACCACCAAGACCTGGCAATTGTAACAGATAATAAAATAGAAGAGAAAAGATCAATATTACATATGACTAATGAAGATCTTATTAATTGGTGGGTGCCAATTTCCCAGAAAGGACCATTAGTAAAAGAACATGTACTGTTGTATTAAAATAAGTGTCCAGTCTGCCAGTGGGAACTTTCCTGCTCATAAAATCCCCTGTTTCAGACTTCTCCTCCAGCATTGCGTGCGTCGTCCTCCATGGCAACTACTTCCACTGGTGTTTACATGTTTGGAGGGATTTTATTAGAATCGTGAGTACATTCATTTAAGGTCCTTGTTACTCTGGACACTTAGGCACGATAGTCTAGTGGTAGGAGGCCGGGATCGTGACCGAAGGGTTGCGGGTTCGATCACGACACGGCACTGTGTTGTTTCTTTGAGCAAGATACTTTACTTCGCTTGTTCCAGTCTCCTCAGCTGTAAATGAGTATGTGGTTGGGCAGTGCTAGAATTGTTGAATGCTGGCTGTGAGCGCCGAAATGGCAGCACGATTGTATGCTCCCAAGGGAGTTGAGAGAGATATAGGCTGGTTGAAAAGGCCCTATAACCATGGATAATAACATGTGAACCGCTCTGAGACGACCTACAAACTAGGTTGTGATAAAGCGGTATATAAGAACCTCAAATTATTATTATTATTATCATTACTTGGTATTATGTGTACAGTGTAACTTTGTTAGTCAGGATAATTTATTAATGTGTATAGTATAACCCTGTTAGTCTGGATACTTTGGTTTGTGTGTAAAGTGGAATGTCGTTATTCTGGATACTTTGGTTTGTGTTTGCAGTGTAACCTTGTTAGTCAGGATAATTTATTTATGTGTATAGTATAACCCTGTTGGTCTGGATACTTTGGTTTGAGTGTGAAGTGGAATGTCGTTATTCTGGATACTTTTGTTGATATTTGCAGTGTAACCTTGTTTTATTTTGACAGAGGAGATGTCACCAACGACCTGTGGCTACTGAGTGGCACAGCCGCAGACACCACGACGGCCCGCATGCTGCCATGCACCAAGCACTTTGCTAATTGGATTCTCCTTCATGGTATCTTTATGACATTCGGTTGGGGTGGCTTCCTCACCTGGGGAGCACTCATTGCTCGGTATTTCAATGCCAAAGGCAAACTTTGGTTTAAGTTCCACGTATCATTTCAGGTATGTTTACATTGACTTTTGTCTTCTTACTCCATCTAGATAGGAAGTAGAATAAGCGATGATGTCACAAGTGTCCAATAAGCTGCATGAACTGTCCATTAAATTTGACTAACTGTTCAATAAGTTATCCACCTGTCTTATACGTGTTTCCCTTATTAGTCAGAAGTGACATCACATTCTATAGAATAGATATAGCCAAATGGGAGCAATTCAGCAATCAAGCAATATACCTAAAAGAAAAAAGGCCCAGAGGGCCTGTATCACTCACATGGACAATTAAGCAGTCATAGCAAAATATCCCATTAAATATTATACTGAACTACAAATATTTCAATCGCAAACTTCGTCAGGCTCTATTCGTGGAAGCTACCAACAAGATATTATTATATGATTCTATGCTTTTGGAATTTTTGAATTGTTTGACATATTTGTCCCTGTGACCTTGAAATTGAATCAAGGTCATTTTCTTTCACAAACTTTGTTGGCTCTATCCCAAGAAGCTACCAGCCAAATATTATGACTTTTAGCCTTTGGATTATTCAGAAGAAGTCAATTGAAGTGTTTAACATATTTGATCCCTGTGACCTTGAAAATAGGTCAAAGTAATTTTCATTTTCAAACATGTCGGCCTCCATTCTAAGAAGCTACCAGCCAAATATTAGGATTTTATGCCTTTTGGTTCTTCAGAACAAGTTGTTTGAAGTGTTGTTGACCTCTGTGACCTTTAAAGTAGGTTGAGGTCATTTTCATTCACAAACTTTTGTGAGCTTTATCCCAAGAAGCCACCAGCCAAATACTATGATTCTATGACTTTCAATCATTCAAAAATTGTTTGATGTTTCTGACATATTTGACCCCTGTGACGTAGAAAGCAGGTCGCGATCATTTTCATTCGCAAACTTTGTCGTGCTCAATCTGAAAGAAGTTACCAGCCAAATATTAAGATTCTATACCTTTCAGTTCTCCGGAAGAAGTTATTTGAAACATTTGACACATTTGACCCTTGTGACCTTGAAAGTAGGTCAAGGTCATTTTCGTTCTCAAACTCTCTTACCGACGAAGCTTTCAGCCAAATATTATGACTCTAGGTACATCCTTTTTTCGGGAGAAGTCGTTTAAAGGGAAAGTTGACGGACGACCTACGCCGCGCCATGAAATAAGCTCTCTAGCTCTTCGGGCAGATGAGCTAAAAGGCAAACAGATGGATGTTATGCCACCCACAGGTGATATGACTGATTAGTTACATCTGGTGCCGTGTTTGATATATTACAGGTGATAGGACTAGTGCTAGCTACAATTGGTACAGTGTTTGCAGTCCTCTCCGTACAGTCTCAACATTTCATGTTTGCCCATGGCATAATAGGTATTGTTGTGATGCTACTAGGCCTTCTCCAGCCTTTCAATGCATTCTTGTAAGTATACCAAAAAAACATTTCTTGCATTGCTTATTTTTACTGTAATGTTAACGAGTACTTTAATGTTTTAGTGTCCACATTCAAATGTTTGTCTGTTTCACTACATCCGTTTTCTTCCTAATTTTTTTCTTTATATTTTCCACATTAAAAGGACAAATTTGATGATGTTAAACGATTTAAATGAGTATCATCCCAAATTATGTGATGGAAAAGCAGCAAACATAAATTAAAACAGAACAGGGCTTTTGTGGCCATATAAAAGGTTCAAGCTTATATTAGCAGAGCCAAGAAATAATTGATAATCCTGAATGATTATGAATTATTTTCAGCCGCGGCAACAGACCAGAGGTAGGACAGTCGAGAACTTTGCGTCGAAAGATTTGGGAATTTATCCACCATTTTAGCGGTCGCATTGCTGTTTTGCTGGCCCTTATAAATATAAGCTTGGGCGTGTTTTTGGCAGTAGTACAAACCACTCTCTGGGCTCTCTGGTATGCCTACTTTGCTGTGCTACTGGTACTGGTGCTTATTGCTGAGATTTTCCGTGGGTTCACCAAGGAAGGACGTCTTCATCCCCAAGTACGTCCCTCAAATGATAAAACCCCCGAGGCAAATTATGAAGTTCCTGAGTCCACTGGAAAGACCAACTATATCAATCCAGGATATGATTCCAAAATCTCGGTGAAAGAAGATTAGTTTTTGACATTTTAACTTGTGATTCTATTGTATATCAAGAGTGGATACTTACTTCTGAGCTACATATGTATATGGACAGTTAATGATGAAGTATTGTTTGGACCGCTAGTCCATTTGTCTATACATGTAATCTAGTTTGGACAAATTGTCCATAAATGTAATCTTGATTGACCACTTGTCTGTTTGTCCATATATGTAATCTTGATTAGACACTTGTCTCTCAGTTTGCATTACAGGATAAGTTGTCAAAACTAATCACCATTGAGAATATTTCTGTTTGAAATTGGTATTTCTATTTATATATGATATTTAGCTGTCGAAAGTTAAGATATTCTTTTATGCGTAAATTCAGATATAAAGTTTAGTAAGACAGCGATAAACTCAGGTCTGTGTCCCAGTGATGCCCAGTTTAGACAGAGTTCACTTTACGACCAGATATATCTATTTATGTTACGGAAAGTAAATAAAAAAAGTAAACCAAACGACTACAGAACTTCTCTGTTTTTTATTCAAAGCTTAAAATAGTGAACAACACGTGGTGATTCATGTATAAAGAACTTTCACACAGAAATACCTTATTTTAGCAGTAAGAACTTTCACACAGAAATACCTTATTTTAGCAGTAAGAACTTTCACACAGAAATACCTTATTTTAGCAGTAAGAACTTTCACACAGAAATACCTTATTTTAGCAGTAAGAACTTTCACA